CCGTGCCCCCCCCACCCTCTCCGCCCCGCGGCACCCGTCAGCATATCCCCGACCGATCGACGGACCGTGCCCCCCCCTGCCCGACCAAACCCTCGCGCCGCCTTGTTCCCCACCGCGCCCCCCGCCCCCGTGGCCCTTGTCTGCCTTTTCCGACCGACCTGCCGTGCCCCTCCCCGCCGCCCCGTGGCCCCGGCTTCTGTGCCCCCCCCTCCGCCCAGTGGCCCCCGTCTGCTTATTTCCGACCGACCGACGACCGTGACCCCCCCCCCCCCCTCCGCCCCGTGGCCCCCCTCTGCTTGGTCCGACCGACCGACCGCCTGTGCCACCCCCCGTGCCCGACTGTGCCCTCCCGCCCCTTGCTCCCCCCCGCGCCCGCCGCCCCACATGGCCCCCGTCTGCCTATTCCGACGGCCGACCGTGCCCTCCCCTCGCCCTGTAGCTCTCGTCAGATTATTCCGACCGGCCGACCGTGCCCACCCCACTCCGCCCGTGGCCCCCCGCCTGCTTGCGACCGACCGACCGATGCCCCCCCCTCTGCCCGCCGCCTTCGTCTGACTATTCCGACCGACCGACCGTCCGTGCCCACCCTGCCCGACCGTGCCCTCCCGCCCCTTGCTCGCCCCGCGCCCTCGCCCTGGCCCCGTCTGATTCGACCGATGCCCCTCCCCTCCGCCCTGTGGCCCCCGTCTGCTAATTCCGACCGACCGACCGACCGTGCCTCCCCCCTTCGCACCAAGGCCCCCGCCGACCGACCGTGCCCCCCCTCCCCTCTCCCCCGCCGCCCTTTGCCCCGCCCCTTCCGCACCGTGGCCCCCCCGCCTGGTTCTTCCGACCGACCGACCGTGCCATCCCCGCTCTGGCCGTGCCCCTGGCCCCCCACCGAGTCCCCACGATGGGCCAACAAATCCCCAGGACAGCTCAAGATTGCCCCAAAACAACGCAAGAGAGCCCCAGACGGTCCCACACAAGACCCCCACTAAGCCCCAGAGACGCCCAATAGCACCATGGCCCCGAAGAGTCATAGAGACGCCAATAGCTCACAGTGGCATAACAAGTTAGCCACGCCGTAGCTCAGCGTGTCGCAACACTCGCGCGTTTCCCCGAAACTACCGCAAGTTGGCGCCGCCTCCATCTCCCACTCACATCCGTGACTGCATGATCCTTGGCACGCGTGCCCCTTGCTTATAAGGTAAAAGAAAGAATGGAGAAGGAGGAGGAGGAGGAGGAGGAGGAGATGGAGGTGGAGGAGGATGACGAGGAGGAGGAGGAAGAGGGGGAGGAGTAGGAGGAGGAGGGGGAGGAGGTGGGGGAGGAGGGGGAGGAGGAGAGGGAGGAGGAGGAGGAGGAGGAGGGGGAGGAGGAGGAGGAGGAGGAAGAGGAGGAGGGATGAAGTGGGATGATAAAGAGGAAGGGGGCAGGGCAACTTGATACGAGGTGTTCAATCCTCTTCTCAGCTCGTGGACGGAGCTGGCAGTGAACGGGCTGGACTCGTGCACTCCACTGGTCCACCTGCTCACTCTCGGGCACATCGTCTCGCGATGCCACAAACCAATGACGGAAAGCGCCGCGGAGTACGGTGCGGATGGCTGAAGAGTCGCTGCACGTCCCTTGCCTGCTGCCAGGCCAATCGAGGGCTGCGCCTTGGTGGGTGCAGCAGGTGCTTTCTCGCGGACCTCGGCTATCGCTGATATCGAACTCCGGGGACCCACGAAGGACCTCCTGAGGGCATTCTGGGGAAGTGCCACGCTGCAGTAGAGGCTGAGGCCGTCGGTGAGGTACCCGACAGGGCCGAAGGCATCGGGGCTCTGGGTGGTGTCACGCGCGAGGCGAGATTGCACTGGCGTGGCGGGCGCCTTGGGGGGCCTACACCTCCGACGCAGTGTGTGTGTGTGTGTATGATCGTGTGTGTGTGTGTGATCGTGTGTGTGTGTGTGATCGTGTGTGCGTGTATGGTTGTGTGTGCGCGTGTGCGCCATCCACGCCATCCACGCCCATAGGTGCAACACCTCCATTTCTCATGCCGCCGATCGGGCATCGCCCACGGTCTGGCGTGTCACCTCCCTGCCCCATCCGCGCACAGATGGCTGATATCGGTGGACACTGCATCCTAAGCGATGCCTGAGGGCACGGCCGCCGCGTGCACCCTGCTTTGACTTGCTCTGCCTTGTCGCTGCGCGCGAGGCTGCTACTGAAAAGTGTGTGTGTGCGTGTGCGTGTGCGTGTGCGTGTGCGTGTGCGTGTGCGTGTGCATGTGCGTGTGTGCGTGTGCGTGTGCGTGTGCGTGTGCGTGTGTGTGTGTGTGTGTGTGTGTGTGTATGTGTGTATGTGTGTGTGTGGGTGTGTGTGTGGGGGGGGCGTGTGTGGGTGTGTGTTTGCGTGCGTGCGCGATACTATCGCATACAGTTTCGATGCTTGCAATATTCGGCACGGCTGATGACACAGTTTACGCGCGCTGCGTTTGACGCTGCCACACGGCGGTTTTCACACATCCCGTAGCCCTGCGAGACTGGTCCGTAGTTTTCCACCCAACCCATCGGCTTCAGTCGCTAGGTTGACCACATCACCCATATGTTTACAGCGTTTCTTGCGCTTCACTGGCCGCAATGAGCCGTCGTTGTGACTCAGTGGCCACAATGAGCCGTTGGCTCTCACGCTTCAGTTGACTCTGAGTTGAGTTATCTTCTCGTTTTCTGTCCGCTGCGCGTTTCGCCTGGACTTACAGTACCTCTTTCCCACCCATTGTTTGCATGTTGCGGTGATGCTGCTTGCGCGCCGCGATATCGACTACGTTCGGTCGCAATTAACACCTCCATCTGCTGTTCGCGCTTGAGGACCCTCTCTGCCGCCGACTGAAAACATGTGTGTGTGTGTGGTGTGAGAATGGTGTGTGTGTGTGTGTTCGTGCGTGCGTGCGTGCGTGCGTGCGTGCGTGCGTGCGTGCGTGCGTGCGTGCGTGCGTGCGTGCGTGCGTGCGTGCGTGCGTGCATATGTGAATGCGTGCGTGCGTGCGTGCGTGCGTGCGTGCGTGCGTGCGTGCGTGCGTGAATGCGTGCGTGCGTGCGTGCCTGCGTGCGTGTGTGTGTGTGTGTGTGCGTGTGTGCGTGTGTACTTGAGAACGCCATGGGAGGACGGCAAGGGACCCCGCGGGGCCGGCCCGCCGACTCGGCCAGTTGGCAACGTGTCCCCGCGTCACCGCGCGGCACCGCTTGGGCGCCAGGGCCATTCAGCGCTTGGGCCGAGTGGCAGGCCACAATGGCCTCCCGAAAAGTCTAGGGTAGGATGGATAACTCCCAGGCGCGTTGGCCGGGGGGGCCAACGCGGGCAGCTTAGGCCCCAAGCCCTACGCAAGCACAGGTGCCAGCCCAGGCGACGGGAACCCGGCTCCCAAACCAAGCAGGACCAAGAGGGACCCCACCCTAGGGCACCTAGAGGCCGCGAGGGGCGCCGCTCAGGCTGGCACCCGTGCGGGGGTGCAGCCCTACCACGAGACGGTCACCTCGTCGGCGCCGCTCTCTCTCGGCAGGGTCGCACTCCCTGGCAGGGGGGAGAGCTCCAGTGCAATCGCTCTGGAGCCGTCTGGCCCCGCGGGACACGTAGGCCCCGCAGCGACGACAGACCACAAACGTCGAACACGTGACGAGCTCGTGGCCACAGTCCCACCCGCGCCGGCGGGGCCGCTCGCACTCCCTCACAACCCGACGCCCGTTCCACCCGACGACGACTCCCCCTCCCCGCGGGCGAGAGCAGCGGCACGAGGAGCAGGTGGGCGGGAGGGAGGCGTAGCTCCCTCGGACGCCGCGCCACCGCTCGCGTCCAAAGCAGGTCGCGCGGCGGGACGGCTCCCCATGGCCCCGCTCCCAGCTGAGGCCGCCGGAGGGCCCAGTCTGGGAGGCCTACGGTCAGGAGCTCTGGGATGGCGTGTCGCTGCGGCGGCCTCGGCGACACGCTACTGCAGGCGGATGGCGTGTCGCTCCGCCCCGCGGGGCGGGAGACGCGGAGGCGGGCCAGACTTCCCCGAGCGGTGGCCCTCCCCGGGCGGGGCGCTGCGACCTGTCCGTGCCCTGTTCCCACGCCCCCTGCTGGCGAGGCAGAGCCGGAGCCGTGAGCGGAAGTGTGGAGCGAAACGCGCCCAGCCGCTGGTGGTCGGGCGGCTGGCTCGACCAGCAGCCAGACGTGGCAGCGTGAGCAGCGAGTGGGGGAACGCGCGAGAGAGAGAGAGGGAGAGAGACAGCGAGAGAGAGAGAGAGAAAGAGGAATATAGAGAGAGAGAGAGACAGACAAAGGAGCAAAGAGAATGAGAGAGAGAGAGAGTGAGAAAGGGAGAGAAGAGAGAGAGAGAGAGAGAGAGAGAGCGAGAGAGAGGGAGCGATCAAGATATAGAGATAGAGAGAAAGAGCGACAGAAAGAGAGAGAGAGAGGGTGAAACTATGATTTATGATGCTGCTGCTGATGATGATGATGGTGATGATGAGTATAATAATATTTATGATCAGATTGAGGTTGATAATCGGGATTATGATGATGCTGATACTGATGATGATGATGTTGTTGTTGTTGCTGGTGGTGATGGTGGTGATGATGATGGTGGTGATGAGGATGAGGATGAGGATGAGGATGAGGATGAGGATGATGATGATGATGATGATGATGATGATGATGATGATGGTGATGATGATGATGATGATGATGATGATGATGATGATGATGATGATGATGATGATGATGATGATGAGTATGGCGATGGTGATGGTGATGGTAGTGGTGATGGTGGTGGTGATGGTGGTGGTGGTGGTGATGGTGATGATAAGGATGAGGACGACGATGACGAGGAGGAGGAGGAGGAGATGCAGGAGTGAGGGGCATGTTACAACAGTGAGGCGAGGGCGGACGAGCGGACAGTGGCGGCGGAGGGGGAAGGGCGGGAATGAAGGTGGAAGGAAGAGAGGGAGGGAGAGATGGATGGAGGGGCTGATGAGGCCACGATGGTTCAGACGCCAGTCCTCGATCTGGCTGCTGACGAGCTGCTCCTTCAGCTGCAGAAAGTACTGCTCGTGCAGCAGCACCTCGGTGCCCACCCGATCAGCAGCGACGACGACGCCTGGGTCGATGCCTCGAGGCAAAAGCGCACGTACAAACGTACAAAGATTGTCTGGGCTCGCCCATCAAGGGAGAACTTCTCCCTCTTCCTCGCCCTACTCCTACTGTTATCTCGCGATGCCTCCGAGCGAGTACAGACTGCCGCAGCGCCGACTCGATTCGACTCCTCCTGCTCCCCTTCCCCCTTCCCCCCTCCTCCGCCTCCTCCTCCTCCTGGCTTAGCGCCGCGCACATTCGTCATAAAACTTGCCAGATTTTTACGGACGGTGGGCGGGTAGTTTTCGAAATGCCGCTCTCGCCTTAGCGCCGCGCACATTCGTTTCAAGATTTGCAAGGCTTTGACAGATAAAGGACGATACCTTTTCAAAATATGATTCTCGCGTTAGCGCCGAACACTTTCGCCTCAAGAGTTAACAGCAGCTTCAGACATTCTCAGAGTTAACATCCCAGCAATGGTGTTCTGGTACGGCGTAGGACTCTCAGAGCGCAACCGTTGCGTTGATTCGCGGTGTTGAAATCATTGGAATGGCGTTCTGGCACAATCCGGGATCGTCCGGACGCAACAGTAACCTCGATTCGCGGAGTTGAAGTCCCAAAAATGGTGTCATGGCACGGTTCGGGAGTTTCAAAATATGGTCTTCCAATGGGGCACTTCCCTCAGTACAGAAGAACCCTTGTAGGGACTTGTCAAGAGTGAACTTAACAGGGAGAGATTATTGCAACATCGTTGGTGGGTCTTGGGTTTACACTGGTTCTCCTCCTCCTCTTTCTCCTCCCTCCCCCTTCCCTCCTCCTCCTTCTCTCGCCCCCTCCTCCTCCGCCTCCTCCTCCTCCTCCTTCCACCTCCTCCCCCTCCTCCCCCTCCCCTCTCAAACTTGACCACCGGACTGCATTATGAGCTGCTTTTCGGGCCGCGTCCAGCCCTGGGCCTGCGGCCCCGAGGAGGCCCTCGAAAGGCTCAATCGAAATCCCAAATCATGCTTCCTCCCTCCCCCTGCCAGATCGCAGTGCTCGGCGACCGCGCGATCGCTGCTGGGCGGCTGAGGGGGGCGCCAACCCAAGAAGCGGGCGGCTGATAGACCAAGTCGAGCTGAACTCCCCTGACGACGGCTCATCGTCGTCGTCCTCATCCTCCTTCTCCTCCTCCTACTTCCTTCCCATCGTCACCATCACCATCATCACCATCATCATCATCAGCAGCAGCAGCATCATCATCATCAACATCATCATCATCATCACCACCATCATCAGCATCACCATCAGCATCATCAGTAGTAGCATTATCAGCATCATCACTACCATCATCAGCAGCATCAAACATTTGCTTATCGTCATAAGAATAATTATTATTACCATCATCATCAGAATGAGCACCAGCATCAGCATCAGCAGCACTATCATCATCACCATCACCATCACCATCACCATCACCATCACCATCACCATCACCATTACCAACACCATCACCATCACCATCATCATCATCGTCATCATCATCATCATCATCATCATCATCATCTTCATCATCATCATCATCATCATCATCATCATCATGAGCATCATCATCATAATCCTCATCAGCATCAGAATCGCATCACTACCACCACAATCATCATCAACAACAACATCACCATCATAATCCTAATCAGCATCATCACCATCGTCATCCTAACCATCAGCATCACCCTCATTATCATCCGCATGATCCTCCTCATCATCATCATCATCCTCATCCTCATCACCACCATCATCATCATCACCACCATCACCACCAGCAACAACAACATCATCATCAGTATCAACATCATCATCATCATCCCGATTATCAACCTCAATATCATAATCAATAGTATTACACTCATCGTCATCAGCATCATCATCGTCATCATGGCCATCATCATGTACATCAGCATCATCATCAGCATCAGCAGCATCAACATCAGCATCAGCATCATCAGATTCATCATCACTAGCAGCACCATCACCATAATCATCATCTGCATCAGCATCATCACCATCCTCATCATCACCACCACAACCCTCAACACCCTCATCATCACCTCATCGTTATTATCCTCACTCTCATCACAATCACCGCCACCACCACGACCATCATCAGCATCATCATCATCAGCATCCTCATCATCGTCAGCATCATCATCATCAGCATCAACATCATCATCACCCTCTGGGCCTTTGCCCGTAGCCTTTCAGGATCGAGTTCCTTTCTGCACGCTCGCATACTGCGCTGCGCGAGCCTCAGGGCGCGCGCCTCTGTGCGGCATTGGCTAAAGCAGCCGCGGCGGCGCTGCCTCCGTCACGGTGAGGTGCCGAGACTCCGTCGCGCAAGTGGGCGATGCCAGCACAGCGAGCGAGAGGCTCAAAGGGTTCCCCAACTGGAGCGCAACATCTCCAGCGAGGACATCCGCGTGGGCCTGGTGCTGCGGGTTCTAAAAGATATCGCGTCCGACCTCGACCTGTGGAGGGTCAGCCGCGGAGTGGTGGCCAACCCCCCCAGATCGAGCTCTTCCTCGTCGCGTCCTGGAGGGCCTGCGTGTGTCAGTGGCCGCATCACAAGTGGCCACCAATAAAACGACCGCCTTGGACTCGGAGCAGGTGCTCACGAACGAGGTCGTGTCCGACGCCACGGGGTCGGCACAGCTGCTCAACGAGACCGAGCAGAAACTGAAGGATTCGGACGCGGTCGAGGTCAGCCCGCAGGCGCGACGGCTTCTTCCGAGACGGCGGAGGCTGCGGCCGCAAGCGGCGCGGACAAGGCCATCCCGACGCCACTCATGATGCGGCGCGCTGGCGCGTCTGGGGCGGAGACCGTCGAGCGCGCGGCTCAGTGCGAGGTCGCCGCCAGGGAGGCGCCACCCGAGGCTGCCAGGGACGAGGCGGCCACCGAGAAGGTCGCAGCTCGGGCAGATTGGCCCTCGGCCACCCCCGACCCCGAAGGGCCGCGGTGCGGGGCGCGGGCCCTCCGTCCTGCCCGAGGGGCCCCGCTGCGGGACGGGGTGCGCGGGCGTCGGAAGGCGCCGGGTGCGACGAGAAGCCGGAGACCGGCATGGGAGCTCGGAGCCGCCCCCGCGGGGAACACCCCCGTGAAGATGATTCTTTTTTGGGGGGGGAGGGGAGGGGGAAGCAATTCTTGCTGCTTGTCAAACATGCAACCCACAACATGATCGACCCACGAACCCGGAAAGGAATATAGAAACGTAAGACATGGCAGCATTTGGCGGGCGTGGTCTCGCAAGCCCGGCTGGGACAGCACATTCTGCTCGCTACTTCCAGAAAGAAACACTCTCTCTCTCTCTCTCGCTCTCTGTCTCTGTCTCTGTCTCTGTCTCTGGCTCTGTCTCTCTCTATCCCTCTCTCTCTCTGTCTCTGTTTCTGGCTCTGTCTCTCTCTATTCCTCTCTCTCTCTCTCTCTCCGCTGCCGTCTGAAGGCTATCTTGTTGGGGACTTGGACCGATCGATCGGCGACTCGGGGTTCTCTCTATTTCCCTCTCTCTATTTCTCGCGTGCTCTCTCTCTCTCTCTCTCGCGCTCTCTCTCTCTCTCTCTCTCTTGCTATTGCTCTCTCTCTCTCTCACTCTCTCTCTCTCTCTCTCTGTCTCTCTCCATCTCGCTCCCTCTCGTTCTCTCTCTCTCTTGTCTATCCCTCTCTCTCTCTCTCTCTCACAGAAATAGCCGGCAGCAGCAGCAGCAGCAGCGTCAGGGGCATCGCCACCTTTTTATGTTTTCATGTTTTTGTCCCTGCTCAGGGCTGGAGCCACCACCTCTTTGGGGGGGCGGGTTCCGCACGGGCCTCACAGGCCCCCATGCTGATAAGGGGTCAGGGGCTTCAGGGGTGGGGCGTCTGGGGCATCCAGAGCCAGAGCCTCGACGTCTTTGGGGCTTTCAAGGGGGTCTGGCGCTTGCAGTGCGAGGGGCTGTGGGGGCGTCAACGTTTTGAGGCACACAAGAGAGTCGCAAATTCGGATTTCTTTGCTCTGCGCAGGGCGTCCCACACACGGCGCTTATGTGCTTAAATTTTACATTCCCAGTGTATGCAAACCCGATTTCGAGGGTAAACCGCCTTACTTGCACAGAATGTTTTCTACAGTGATTTCCCTTGCGCTACGTTTTGGGAATCTCCAGGGAGTCTTCTGGCTCCATTTTGGGTATCCTCCACAGAGTGGGAGCTGCCCCAAGAGCAGCCCCCAGGAGCCCCCCCCAGACCAGCATCACGGCGAATTGGGCACCGCCCGGGAACCCCCAAGGAACCCGCCAGGAGCGCCCTGGGAGCTCGCCAGGAGCCCCCCCCCCCCAGCCCCGCTGCCGCCACTTCCACAGCAAGTGCGACCACTGTAGCGCCGCCACACCGGTGGCCGCGCTCCGCCCCACCTCCATCACTGCCACCGCCTCCGCCGCGCCCCTAGTCCCACGTCGGCTAAAAACGCAGAAGCGACAATCGCTAACAACACAATTTTGGGGCCACCAATGCTGCGGCAACCCTCGCCCCTCTGCGCCCCATCCGCTGCCACCACTCCCACCATCTGTGAGAGCACGGCTACCACTCATTAGTGCACCATCCCCACTGCCACCGGAGCCCACTTGGGTCCAATCCTCCCTCACCGCCACTGCCAGGTTTTTGCCAAAGAATAGACACTGTGTTTGTCACCTGTGCAAGTAACGCAGCTTCAATAAGTATTACACGCTTCAAGAGTTGGCAATTGATTTCCAAGACAGAGAGCCGGCGCAAGAGAGAGCGATGGGGCGAGCGAGTGCGAGCGAAAAAGAGAGAGAGAGAGAGAGAGAGAGAGAGGGAGGGAGGGAGGGAGGGAGGGAGAGAGGCACAGGCGCGGCCGCCGCCACTGCCGCCGCCACTGCCACTACTGCGACAGCCGCCGCCACCACC